AATTCATGTTAGGATCCTCTCCAAAATGTACAGAGCACTGGAAACTTCAAATCCTTACATCTCAATCACCACTAGTGTAAGGCTATATTATTATCCTGGATTGTTTATTTAACCTATATATGATATATAGGTGAGGGACTCCTGCTTCTTTGTTTTTGGTCAGGTCACACTAACCTTATGAGTGGAAAGAGATGTCTTTGTCCATTCACTCTGCCGAAGTTTGAAATCCATGGCCAACAATAACATAAACTTGGAAAATATGCAACATTGAATTTGCAAAAATGTGGCTGCTTGCAGGAAAGACCCATCAACATTGACTACCTAACAATTATAGTGTCAAGTTCAGATCTCCCTGTACTCAAGAAAGTTTGAAAGATGGAGAGGATTCATCAACATGGACACAAAGGTTTGGCGTAAAGACTATGACTGTGTAAAGGTACGATGACAGATTCCTTCCTGCCTACAAAAAAAAAATGCGTCTGGTGAATCCACAGTGTAAAAGAGAGCTCAAACGAGATTATTATGCCTAGCTCAGGGTTCAACTATCAGAATCAAGCTCAAGTTAGGTCGTCTACTAGTCAAGCTTCTCACCTAACAAAAGGTAAAGATTATTGACAAACCAGAAGATCTAAATACCCTTCTTTCTAAAATACGTTAGCAATTTTAGCTAGTAATTACCTAATATTGCACATTATTCAACAATACAAACAGCTAAATCTGAAAATTAGATATGGACTTTTTTCATGTTCACTTCATAAAGTGAAGAGCTCCAAGTGGCTAATTATTGAGCTAAAAAATAATTATGTACCTATATACAGTTCACCCTGCACACTACGGGTAAAGAATTCAACATCATAGATATAACCACATATCAAGCTATATCAGTGACAATAATCTGGAAGTACGAATTTATCAAGTTACCATCTTATATAGAGTTCAATGACAGAAAAAAATTTCAGATAGTCGATCACAAATATTTAAAACGTTACAACTTCTAATTGTGTATAAACACAAGGATTTGTTATTGTTCTCCACAGGCTGAATCGATAAGTAAATAGCAATCTCTGTTTACAATGAAACTAATGAAAACAGTACAGGAATTGAATTTAATTAGGCATCAATTAGTAGGATAGCGAGAAATACTCAATTGATTTCAGTAATGTTTATTAAACGGTCAATAAATAGCTGGATTAGCTATTTGGTACGTATCATACCAAATAGGAAATGTGAAATGAGGCTAAATCAATGATTGCAATTTCGGTCCATATACCAAAGCCCTACTCGATAGGATGCGTATCAAGGCATAGTACGTCCAAAATCATAAAAAAAAATTAAAAATACCTAAAAATAAAAAAAATTAGATTTGAGTTTTTAAGTTATAAATAAATATAAATTTAGTATAATTTTAACAAAAATAATGTAAATTAGGAAAGAATAGTGCCACATATCTTTTTCGGACTTTGAGGAGTAGCTTTGTAGTACGTTCCAAATCATCTTTTCGTTAATATTGAATTATCTACAAAAAATTATTTGAATTGTTAGATTATATTTTATATAATTTAAGCTTTAAGATTCAAATGAATTAAGTAATCAATCGATGGATATACCTGGTTTTACCACAAAAAAGAATGACAGGACTCCACGGACGATGGATCGAGATCCTCGATCCTATGTAACTGTATCAATATGAAATATTTGTCAGACCCAATTCTGAAATTGATCCCACGACATAGTGTACTAATATAGTGTATGTCGTTGGTGCATCAATGTGGTGATGATTATAGCCTGTTCATCGTGAACCACATATGTTCGAGGTGGCTCCTAAGGCAAGGACGAATGTGACAAGTATTGGTGTCGAGCATAGCGAATGTTAGAACTTCTACTTTCGCTACTGATATGTTGCTTCATATCATAAGATCAATCATCGTACTATTGCTTGAAGAAGTATGACCAACGATCATCGTCCTATTGTTGACCGTAAGATTATCCATAATACGACAACTATGAATACGAAGAGCTTCACTCTGTGTCTACAACATGTAGGCTCTGTTGCATCTGCTCAAAATCATCCACTAGCTTCTCATTCTCTTTTCGTACATAAACTTGCTCAATACCTCGTCGAGCTCCATGATCTGAATCTTGGGTGACGTGTAAAATACTGCTCCTCGATCCATACACCACCCTCAAATTACGTAGACGAGACCATCAACTCCCCAACATCACCACTATCATCGGTTGAGGCACTGCAGTCCATGTCGTTGTCGTATCTTTGGACCAAGCAAGTTGTTGAATGCGATTACAAAGGTGTCTCATCGCCTGACTTAATTCTTTCCAACGGTGCAGTTGATGCTACTGCCTTCCCCCTTGCCTTTACCTTTGTATGTTGGGCAGACAACTGTGACGGTTAGGTGTCTCTAGTTCCTAAAGCAGTCTGACTCGATGTTGTCCGACTCCTTCCACCGCTTTCTAATCGGGGGGGGATCTTTTTCCTGTTGAGGATGTGCTTCCTCATCTTCTATTGCCTCGGTAATAAAATGCAAAGGATGTTGAGGATCTCTCGCCTCATCAAGTAGAGGATCCTCTTGGTTCTTCGCTGCTTCGACTCACTCTAACATCATCTTTGAATCTTTGTTGTAGAATTGGAAGGTGTTACTGCTCGATACAAGTCGATAACAGTTGAAATCTAAGCATATTGATCGGTACAGGTCGGTAATGATCGGATTTCGATCATTATCGTCGGGTACAGACCCCGTATCGCCCGATACGAGGTCAAGTGATCGGTATCGCCCGATAGAGGATGGTCCGTGTACCAGTATTCTATCGGATCGGTACATACTACCTGTACTAGGTGGTACGCATCAATAGAGCAAATTTTAAGCTAGATTTCATATATCAAACTTTAAATTATTATTGATAAAGTAATAAAAATTGGTCACTGCTTCCACATACAGGTGAATAGAGTCTTGCACCTTCACACATCTTGCATGTGGACGATGGAATCATGTCATCGGAAAGCAAATGTGGCCTAGCAGCACTCACACAAAGGTGAAAAAGAACAAATTTTATTAATCCATTTCTAATTGATTTGCATTACAATGTTCTTGTCCCTTTTTATAAGCTAGGTACAAGAAAAAAAAAAGAAAATATAAAAGTGAAAATTTATAATTGAATCAAATCAAATATATGATTTGATCTTCCCTTTGAACAAGATAATATTCTTAATTGATATGCTTCCATCCTCGTAGAGCTCAATCTTCACAAAATCTCATATCAGGATGTGGAATCTTCAATAACAATCATAATTTGATCTTTCTTAAATTCTTTCCAAATTTTATTCTTCCTTAAGTAAATTAGGAAACTATATCAGAATTATTCATTATGTTGCCACATGGCAACTTATGATATGCAAAATAACCTCTAAACTAATCAAATTTATTTGAAGAAAAGATAAATAAGATTGGTTCGAGTCAGGTATCCTAACTCTTATCAGGTAGGCACCCACCTAGATTGATTGTCTATGATGTGCAATGGCATGCATCTTCACCAGAATCTCACAGTTGTATGACAGCTTCATCACAAAGACAGACCATTTAATTACATGAATTTTGTAGTTTATCACCCATTTTATCATCTGCAATTTTTTAGTTTATCTTCTTTCTAATAGATAGGCAGGAGAGAGAGCTTCTAACTAGTAGAAATCTTTGTCATATCACAATACAAATGTACAAGAAATAGAGAGATAGGACTTACTAGTAGAAGACTGTTATGTCAGAATAAAAAAAAAGGAGTTCCACTGTGCTCAGGCCTGCTTTACTGGTCCATTGACATGTTGAATGCTGGTCTAGAGAGAGATAAGACCAACTAGCATTTAGAATGTCTGGATTGAGAATTACTGGAACTACTTAAATAAAGAACCACGAGGATCTATAACAAATACAATTTGAAGTATAGATTGAAAATGAGTGTGTAGGAATATCTAATGCTCATGTACACAATCAGTGTAATGGATCTAAAATGTTAAACATAAACCAAGCACTACTAACAAATAGAGCAGTACAATACTGTCCAAACAAAGCCACAGCAACTTCAAATAAGAACAAATTTGTCTTAACATAGTACATTCAAGTGAGATAACTATACCTGAAAGCTACACAACCTGCATGGTTGGTAATGAAAATAACTAAAACATATATGCATATTGTAGCTTAAGTGAAATAATGCCTTCTAACAGTATATAGATGAGAAAGAAATGAACAAAAAAATTTAAATTTAAAAACTTCCTGTTCCTTATTTAAATTGAATATACATAATGTCTGGACATTGTTCTGAAACCAAAGAATAGGATCCGAAGCAGTAGGTTTATTATGACTATGTTCTGAACAATAGCTTTTAAAAATTTGATATTCAATACAGATCAATGCAAAATAATAAACACTGAAAGCAATATGTGGAAATAAACATCATTGTTCCTCCAAACAAATTGTTAGGTGAAGTGTTTTTGTAATCAATATGCAATTCCACAGATTGATATTTTCATGCTCATATAAAAGAGTGCCAATCAAAAAAGACAGATTATTATTCAGAAATATAAAAAGTAGCAAACAATGAAGAAACACTTGCATCAAAGGCTAACATGTAAGATCTTAAGCTGTAAACCAGACAGAGGATTTACAGAAGAAAGACGACAAGCTGCGATGGATCATACGTAAGATGTGCAAACAATCGGCATCACATGCATATTTATCATCTGGAGAGTGATTTGCTTATCTAAAATCCTACGATAATGATTACAGAATCAAACCAGATTAGGATCCATAAAAAATGCAGCACCTAAAACAAAGCATATATACTGGAGGAACGAAAAGAATGACCTAGAAGTTAGCAAATAAAGCAATGTAAGCTAATAAATGGAACTTGATCTTAAATAGGAGAATATTCATATCAAGTTAAAGAATGCAAGTAAGAAGAGCTGATGATAATAGATCAAGAAACACTGACAATTATGTAAGAAGCTATAAGACCTGAAATGTTTGTAACTCAAATTTAACGATCCTGATAATGGAACAGTTTTAGTGCCAAATTTAACCTGAAACATAAAAAAATGAGGATGTAAGTTTTGGAGTTATTAGGAAGTCAATGTACTTAACATGTAAACTTAAAAGTCAATTTGACAATTGTTCGCTGAAGTCCCACAGAAGATGTTATCGAAGAGCTCTAAGCATGTCACGAAACTTAGAATTACAATATTAATATTTTAATTTATTTTCTTTTTGCTCCAAATAATATGATTAAACAGTCAAAACCTGTTCAATGGTGTCTTTCATGTACAATACCAGTTATACTAGTAAGTGGGTTGTCCTGTAAAGATTGGTTTGGTCATGATATCAAAAGTCAAGCTCCATTATATACCAATATGGAAATGAGAATTCAGATTGTTCCGATGGCAAAACAAAAGTGTTCAATTACCCTATAAAATATTTATCCAAATGTAACTATAAACATGAACAAGCTTCAGCATTCAAATATGACTACCACGGGAGGACATGACTAGCTAGGGATCGACAAACTACAAGATCCAACATACAAGAGATGAATTATCTGTCAATACAAGACTTCCAAGTCATCGTGATCATAAGAGAAACAAAATGTGCCAATCCCAACCAAGACGACCGATTAATCATCGGAAGGGAAGTGAAAGGAGGAAAAATTACTGTGCATAGTGAACAGAGATCCGCCGGGTTCTATCCATCAGTCGGAATGCGAGTCGTAGCCGCCGCCGGTGGAGTCATATTCGTCTGAGGAGGACGACGAAGAGGAGGAGGATCCGAGGTAATAGAGACGGTTGCGGCGGAGGTCGTCGGACAGGAAGGGTGGGAAGCAGAGGAAGGAGAAGAGGCAGAGGGCGAAGCCGCGGAGATGGCGGAGGGGGAGGCAGAAGAGGAGGTCGAGCACTTCCTCACTGCTCAGCCGTTCCGGGTTGCAAGCCACGTACTGGCACGCCTCGGCCGACACCCTCGCCACCGCCGCCACCCACCCTGCGTTGAACACCATTCCCTTCCCCTTCTCTGTTCTTCCGTCTCTTCTCCTTTGCCTCCTCACATAGTCCTTCTTCTCCCCTTCTTCTTCCTCTCTTCTAATTGGGTATTCCGTCCGCCGCCAGGTAAAGAAGCGAGGGTACCGTGGGGAAGAAGAAATCGTCACTAGACATCGAGGATGCATCGTGATTTGTGTTTAGATCCTAGTTTTCATCTCAACGCATTTCTACGGTGATGCGATTCGGTTAGTTTTCGTCCGTTGGTACCGGTTCCCAGATCCTTGCACGAATCTTAAACCATCGCCACTAGTTCCTTGAATCTCGACTCTTACATCAACATAAGCACAAATCAAATAGCTAACTTGAGAATAACATCATAGAGTCACCACGTAACAAAACTCTAAACCTTCAAATAGCGACATGAAACCATTGAGAACGAAATGCCTGCTGCTCCACAACTACACAATAGACAAATCAACAATTGGAGGGAGGGAGAGAGAGAGAGAGAGAGAGAGAGAGAGAGAAAACAAATAAGCATATCATACCAAATCCAGTGGCATTCGTTCAGTCTTTTTCTTCTTTGTTGATCTACTTGAATACATGTGTACACAAGCAAAGAAAGTATACAAGCAAAAAGGGTACAAAAAATTGCCTACAGAGTTCATCACACTTACAAACAGGTATTATATGACTACAAAGGAGAGGCGTTAAACACATACTTGTATGTTCTACTGTACATCAAAACCATGGTGCTCATCTCTTCGAGTCCCTTCTTCTCTGAGGCCCTAAGGAAACAAACCCTCATTGCTTCAATTGCAACTGTGGCGCATGCGATTCCATGAGGATCGACCAGAGGACATGCACGTCTTCATATGGGCATGACTTGACATCCTCATAGAGGATGTAGATCCCTCTCTCTGTCAACAGAACAAGAATAACCATTTAATCGCTATATGCCATGTACACGCATGTGATATGGAAAAAACTGAGAACAGCTTTGGAAATAAAGAGTATGAAGGAAAACACATGTTGAGACAAGTCTTTGCTGACAAATTAAAGTATGTTGGAATTGCAAAAGGAAGATGAAGCATTATCAGCAGCAGTGAAACATACTCTTTTTATGTGCAGAATGCAGGCGAATCCACAGCTTCTTCAGTGGGGAGAAGAGGGATTGGAGCCACCCCATCTGCAGGAGAAGTGAAGGTGGGTATATTATTGGCTCATTGGTGGTGGTTGAATGCAGGTTGAGCAGAAAAGGAGAGTAAACAACCCTCAGTCTGCTTTAGGCTCAGGTGGAAGTCCATTTCCATCCTCCTGCAGTATAAATCATGAATCACAATGTTGTCTTGGTACCCAATCACTGTCCACCTCTCTTCTCAGAAATCACCTCTTGAACATTGCCCAATAAGTTTCTCAGATATCAGAAGGCACAATGCTCTCTCTTCAAACAATCTGCATGATGTCAGCTAAACTTTTTTTTCCTCTCTTTCCTGCTTCTCAACTAATGGTGGCCTACCATTTCTTAAACTCTCAACAAAACAAGCAGAGGGTCTCTTGCAAGGAGACCCTTTTAATTCAAGAAGTTGATGTTTAACTTGCAATTGCCATGCTCACATATAGACGAAGTCAGCAATGAACAAGTGGGAATTAATAGCTCCAAACTTATTGTCCAATATCTTAAAGAATATAACTAGTTGTCATGTTAATTCATTTTAGCTCCATTGCAAACAGTGACCAAATTTAGTATGGAGACATGGTTAGGATAAGATTTATAGAATATTTCAAATCCACTTATGATGCAGGAGTTGGCCAAAGTGCAAGACAATAAGATTGTGAATATTATTTTATATGACATTTGCTGGCTAATGGATTATGCTTAAAGTACTGTACAAAAGCTCACATATAGGGAAACTACTGAAAACATGGTTAAACTTTTCCTAAATTTTGTGGAAATTGGCCAGTGACAGTATCATTTATTCTTTAAAGAGTGGAACCGATGACAGCTGATGTTAATAAAAAATAAACAAGAAGAATTTAGGTAGAAAAATAAGACAAACATTTACATGGTTTTATGCAGGGTTTGCCGTACCGAACTGTACCGCCCGATATGGGCGGTAAGTACCGGTCCGACAGGTTGTCGGTACGCGGACCGCCTGTTACCGGTCCGAGTGCACTGTAGTACTGTAGCATTGCTACAGTACTCGGCACACCTGGGTGTACCGCTCGGTATACCGTACCGTACCGGTACCGAGCCCAGGTCGAAATACCGGTACGATACGGTATTGCGAACCTTGGTTTTATGTAACCTATATCTATTGTAACAATAATCAAGCTTAGCTTAGACTTTACCAAATCTTTAGACATGATAAGATTTTTATGATTTTTGTCAATCATTCTCTATATTTTGACCACATTTATAATTATTAAAACTGATAGTTAAATCTTTCATGAATTATGGTAACATAAGTAAACGACAGGATCGCAAAGGCTTTATGTGTGGCTTCACAGCTCATGTTATAATGGTTAAAATTATTTCACCCCACAGTAATTACTAAGAAAATAAAATCATCAAACCTTACTCAGAAAACAAGCATTCACAATAAGAGTAACATGCATCAAAAAGGATATCATTCGTAAAAAGTATGTACCAGACCCATGCTTGTCCTCGTCAGCTCAGCTTTAGCAACAAAATAAATTCTGTATCCCCATTATTCTCGAATGAATAGAGAAGGGAACATATTTTATTTATGGTTAAATAGCAAGCATTATTTTTTCCTACAATAAGCCATGATTGAACAAAGAGAGAAGAAACATGCTGAGGAATCTAAAGAAGTATTAGAAGCTTGCCACCTAGTCAAACAGGAAAGAGTTTTAAGTAGTAAAAGATATGAAGGAAATGGGAGCCCCACTTACATTGTCAAAACAATTACTTGCTAGCTAGTGTTTGAACTCAAATAAAAATACAAGCAAAAATATTATCCTGCATCATCTTACTTGTTTATTGAAGCATGTAACATCAATGAAAAGCCAACGCCTTGAAATTGGAATTGTCTGAAACCCTGCAATATCAATGCCAACAACAATTTTTCCACTTAGAGGCAATGTTGAAACATGAAGACTGCATTTCCACCAGGAGTTCTAAGAAGCCAGTTGTGAACATTCCAAAATACCTCTATGGGGAAGGATGTCAACCAGGATTGCCTGGTTTCCATGGAATTCCCACACAAATAGCTTGACCTGCATTACCCGCTTCATATCAATAAGGATTTAAAGGAATGGATACCTACCCCAATTCCCAATCATGTCGTACCCAATTGCAACATGATGAATTTGTCCATTGTCGGACCGTCTTCCCATATATAGGTTCCCTCATGGCCACCAAAACCACATTTGAATACAGAGGTTCACGCTGTAGTTTTATTGTGGGCCTCCTTGGCCAGATCGACGAGCAGGAGGACCATCTGAAGATCAAAGAAGACAGTGACATAGTAACCTTCCAATGGCTGAGTTCCCATCCCAAACTTGGCAGCAGACAAATCCCAGAAGATGTCCACTTTGCTGCTCTCGCCTCTTAGATCATTTCTTCGTGGATAAAGCCCACGGTTTGATGTCCACTTTGCAGAGGCACTGGCCGTCACAACCCTCAATCCCTGTGCTCAACCGTTGGCCCCTCGATCACTTTGCTCCACGTAGTGCCGATGAAGCAAGAACGGCTACCGAGCTGAGTCCGGTAGAGGCAAGCCAACAGATTCTGCACGGAGTTGCCAACGCCATCCCCGCCGCCGATGAGGAATCCGAACCTGAACTCCGCTGTCTCCGAAAATAGAAGGGAAGTCCCTCGTCCCGAGCCTCCTGCGCGCCTCGAGACAAAGAAATGAGTAGCCTCGCGCACCCGGCCCAGCCAAGGACACGGAAGGACTTATCGCAAACACTCAGAGAGGCCTCGAAACGACGAAATGAGGAGCCTCGACCACCCAATCCAGCCAAGAACTCCAAAGGACTAATCACACACATCGAGCGGCCTCAAAGCAACGAAAGAAGGAGCTTCGCCCGCCCGCTTGATACAGGCCAGAACAAGGGAGGACTTATCACAAACACCGCCCCTGCGCGCCGTAGTCACGAGATACGCCACCAGTGAGGAGATTGACTTACTGCATTCCGTCGAGAACCCAGGACGGCCGATCGGCCTCGCGGTAGCAGATATTGAGGAACGCAGAGAGAGAGAGAGAGAGAGAGAGAAGCGCTCCACTACAAGCAATAGGCAGTCCCGCTAAAGCCGTCCGTCAGCTTCATGTGTCCATATATTTATATATAGGTCTATTTCCGGGATGACAACAAAGGTTTATTTATTTATATATTTAAGATAATAAGATAAATTATTTAAATAAATTTATTAGAAATAAAAATAGATAAATTTTGGAAGAACGTCTAAGGTTCACTTTTTTTAGTACAGTACTTCTTATTTATCAGCTAACTTGATCTTGCTCCTCCGAAAGTTCCTCCCTATCATTCCTTCTAAGAATTTTTTTGGGCGAAGATGACCACAATAGAGTTCCAAAGATAAAGAGTGACGAGTGAGGTGAGAAAGAGAATACCACTTACTTGAGAGGTCGAGTAGAGTGGCCTCACAATATAAATGGACAACATGAAGACGAAAAAGATCAAAAATTGAAGAGTGTAATATAGAGCACAATAAGACGAAGGCAATCATGCAAAATTAACTAAGCCTCACAATGAACCATGAGACAAAAATAGTCATAACAAAATCAAAATAACAATCGATAGGACGAAGGATAAAGATAATCTTATCTTCTAAAAAATAAAAAATATTATAGAAATAAAATAAAAAACATGTTTTACGAGAAAAAGTGAAAACTTGAGTTTTTTTTTTAATTTGCCCAGTAAAGATACACCATGTTTATAAGAGAAATATATTTAAGACGAGAATTGAACATACACTAAAATATTCATTTTTATATAAGATTTAGTATTTATCTATCAAAATTTGAGCTCACTATATATCAAAAGTCCAAGGAATAAAAGATAGTTAAAACTCCTTTATAAACTCATTATGATACACCATCTTAATCTTGTAAAGAAATACTATTTCTGTGACTCATCCTAATCATCCAGATTGTAAAGGAACAATGGTAGCATGAAAACAACATAAATTTGGTTTTTTACTCCATAAAAGAACAGATACACATATGTAGAGATATGGAGAAGCATGTAATGATGACATTAATTTAATTCTCTCACCAATCTTAATGAAGTTAGAATTAAATCAAAGAAACATTCATGATGGCCATTAGCATCCGAAGACAGTTGAGAGAAGAGGAAACCTTTTGTAATAATCATCTTCCTGGACTGCTTTCTGCTCATCTCGGCCACGTTCACGAATCAAGCTAACTGGAAACTGAGAGCGAAACCAAAATGCCGACACGTTCTGGAAGCTATGGCCTACCACCCATCTTCCCTCTGCGATTGTTCTCCCTGTTTCTCATTTTTCCCTTCTTTCTACTCTTTCTCAATACTTCAATTTGCACACATTTGAGCAGAGAGACAGGGGGAAGAGGGAAGGGAGCAGAGAGCCTCTTGTTAGATTTCAGAATCTTATGCAAAGAAGCATCAGATGCAGTCGGTAAGCCCAAGCGTCATCCGCTCATATAGCACCAGCGAGCAATTGTTGTTCAGTCCAGCGTTACCTCTTGTCAGACTGCCAGAAAGCTTGTATACCGCCATTTCCTAATAGAATGGTTTGTGATAGAGCAATGAGGAGACTAATCTGATAAAGCTATTTTTAATCTTTATTTAAGAATAAGGGAGAAATGATGAGAAGAAAGCATTTACCAGCTACAGGCTTCTGCTCAGCTGAGGGCTTCATGGAAAATGGCAGCGAAGACATGTAAGGGAATGTAGCAGAAATTGGAGGGTGAGAGCCAGAGGCAGACTGGGTAGTCAAAGCTAGTTGAGTAGCATTCAGAAAATTAGATGGCGGAGAGCCTTTTATACTGTTGGCCGCAACCACAGAGGCAGCAGCCATGGCCTTTGCAGGGTCAGATGTGGGAACACCGGCTAGGGTAAATGCAGTGGGAGCAAAAAAACATGGCATCCCAGTAGAAGACGGAGCTGAGCTGAGTTGTTGCTGCAGTTGAGACTGTCGTGTATGTTGTTCAGATCGAGGCTTCTCATAGTACTGCACAACAGTGGGAGCAGCAGCACTGGATTTAGAATATGGGACCTGTTGCATGTGAGGATTAGAGAAGAAGAGTTGAGCCTGAGAAAAGGTTTGATGATCTGGTAATTGCTGAGGCTGTTGCTGCTGCTTAGTGTTAGAACTTGGGGCAGGAACTTTCTGAGGGCGCCCAAGAATGGATGGCATGTTAAAGCTACTCATAGATATCGGCTTTGAACTAGAGCTTGTCACTGATTGCTTTACAGCTGACTGTTGAGTGAGCGCAATTGCAGAGGTCGATGGACCAGGCTTCATACTGGCACATTCCCTAGGGCTGCCACCAGCAATCTTAGAGACAGATTTCGAAGATGAACCAACAGCAATGGTGACAGAAGATACTGATGGACTATCACATGTTCCAGAGAGGTGTTGACCCCCTAGTGCCACCACTTCATTTGAGTTCAAGCCAAAAGATATCTGTATTTGGTGACCTTCTCTGAGGTTTTTCTTTGGTAATGGAGTAGATGAAACTGCAGTAATATCTCCTACTCTGGATGTTTTGCCCTGAGGCCACTGGATGGGGCTGCCACCATGCACAAGAGCCTGAGGGGGCCCACTTAGAGACTGAGGGAACCTAGCGGTAAAACCCTCAGTTAGACTCTCAGGGTGGATATTGGTGTTGTTCCTTGAGCCTGAGGACTTTGCATGAGAGGATGCAAGATGGTGCTGCATCTGCAGCTGTTGCAGTTGATGCTTCTGAGAATGAATCAGTTGCTGTTTCTGTTGTTGGGAATTGGCAACATTGTTGGTAGATGTGAGAACAGAAGTTGCAGCTGTAGAAGTGCCAGCAGCGTGGTCAACAGATATACCACAATTTCCCGGAGCTTGGATGAGGTTCACTGATCTGGAAGAGAGGTCTAAGACACTGTTACTGACACCTGACTGGATGGGAGGTTCATTATCGGATTTTGCAAATGAAAACAAATGCTGTAGGCCTTTGCTAGCTGCTATAATATTTCTGCCCTCTTCAACTGTGATACTTGTGTCTGACTCCCAGGCTGCAGATTTTCCCTCTGTTACTTGGTGGACCTTCTTCTGTTCTGCAGCTTGAGTAGTGGTAGTAACTGCAGCTTTTGCCATCTGGTGGTAGCCGTCCCGGGAAGGTTCTGGAAGGCTCCATAAAATGGAATGATTCTGTGTCATGGAAGAAAAATCATAATCTGATGGTACAGTTCCAGCTCCGCCAAAGGATGCAAAGGGAATTGTGAAAGCTTGAGGCAATGCAAGCTCTGCCGTCATGTTCTGCTTCTCTTGTGGCTGCTGATAAACTGGCTGCTTATCACCGTGACCCTTACTATTGCCCATTGCAATAGCAGCTGCAGCAGTAGACATCAAGACGAAGTTCTGAGGATGAATTGGAGTAGAACCTTTTTGGAAACAGATTGCCTTCTGAGATTGAAAATTTGTACCATCAGCAGCGGGAAGGTCATTTTTCATGTCCTTACTGCACTCACTATGGCAAGCTTGCTGAGACAGTAGGTCCTGCTGTTGATGAGTTTCTGAAAATACATAAGAGATTGCACCGCCATCACTAGCAGCACCAGCACCATTTCCCCCCATACATTGTGATTTCTGTGGATATTTCTGTGAGGATGATCCACTTAAGGTGCTCAAATTGGGGTGGCTTTGTTTACCATGCTGTCGTGGAGGCCCTGCCAACTGCTGCTGTTGTGATCGTTGTTGTGATGCATGAAGCATGTGAGAAGGGTAGAAGAAGGGCATTGCTTGAGCATTACTTGTTCCAGGAAATGGAGGAGCTGCAGCAATTTGGGGAGGAATAGGAAAAGGATATGCATTGTTCTGAACAAATGCCAGGTACTGAGCTTCATTAGGAGGCAAACTAGAAAAGCTCAAATTCACTGGAGTTGCTGATCCACCACCTCCACTGCTTCCCCCAGCAGAACCCAAGGCACCAGATACCCGCACCTCAGCACCTGAAACCGTAGTAGATTTTGCTACCCCAACTCTATTAGCAGCTGCTGCAGAGGCTGTGGGTGTTGCTTGTTGCTGGTTTATAGGGAAAATGAATGCAGGAACGTGCTAAATAGAAAATAGAATTGGATCCACAAAAAAAGAGTATAAATTATCTCAGAACAGCATTGTAAAAAGATTCAATACCAACACATGCAGAGAAACCTTACCGGCATCTTGTTTGTGGATCCAGACTGAGTCATCTGCTGCAGAATTAGTTGTTTTCCCTGGGCAGATTCCATGTTTGTATTATTGGCTGATGGCATCTTCTCCTGTGAGGTATGCCCTGAATATGGCATAGCATATGCTGGTGTCCCTTTAGTGTCTTGCAATGTACTCATATTCTTACCTAGGGAACTTCCTTCCTTTGTTTTTCCAGAGAGAGGAACATCTGAAGGCGGAACTACATTAAGGTTATATGGGTTGGCCCCATACAAAGGTGCAGCTCCAGATGCAGCAGTCCAGAAAGAACTCATCCTCATAAATTTCTGGTGATTGGATATCATCTGTGTGATATAGCATTGTGTGGCACAACGCTTTGGACGAGGATGCATTTGTTGAAAGGGTGGTGGCTGCAACAGGAGAAATTGTGAGAACCAGAGAGTGAGAGTGAGATATGGAATGGGGGAGCGGAGGAGAAACCTGCAAGGAAATGGAAGGACCTGCAGTTCCATCCATAGGAACAACAGCTTGCAAAGTTGGACCCTGACCCATGTACCTGAGGATGAAGAAGATGAAATCCTCCGTAGTCATCACAAACTTTAAATTCCTAGAGAAAGAAGATCAATTACTCACCCGTATGGAGGAAAACTTCCAGGCCAAGTTTGATTGAATGGCATATGGAGTGAGGATGCTGATGCTAAAAGTTGAAAAAGAGAAACAGACTTTAAATCAGATATCCTCATAGCAGAGAACAGACGACATAGAAGAAACTCTATTGGAAATCATTATTACCAGACTTCTCTTGTTTAGGCTCTACTTTAGGTTCTTTGACTTGCTTCTTATGGACTTGCACTC